ATGACTGAGTGACGTCACAGCTGCGGATAGAGCAGTAAAGGCTCTAGAGCATCCCGAGTGATCGGTCCCACACGTGACATTCTCCACTAAGCTTTGTTCCGGCAACATTCTCACTATCCGAGGAACGAGATGCAGTATTCTCCTCCTTTTTTTCCGCCAGGCTGGATGTAAAGCTTAGGAAACAGAACTGCCTTAACCACGTGGCAGAAGGATGGTAGTTCGTAATTAATTTTCCACATCAACTGCCGGCCGCCCTCCGCTTGGCTGCAAACTGCCAGTGGATACTTACCCACAGAGCAGACACGTCGCAGAGCAAAAAGCATGATTATTATTAGCTAATACTTCACAGTGTGTGCTAGCCAAAAGTAAGAGGTAAGCGAGTTGGAGTGCAGTGAGGGCAGTGCCAGTGCCAAGGCAGCCCTGCCTGAAGCTGCTTATCATCTATGAGATACAAAAATGAAGGGGATAGAAATGCAGGATGGGTAGAGTGAGAAAGCTAGGAGAAGGCTGCAAGCAGATACAGAAATGTGTTCTCAGAAGAAGGTTTTGAGCCAGGTGATTTTGAAACATCTTCAGCCCAAAGAAACATGTGTCCTTTTCCACCTCAATTGGACTCTGCCCAAGACATGGCCCACAAGCTGCCAAGCAGCAGCTTGGCAGAGGACAAGGGGCTCCAAAATGCTTCATCTTCTGAGAGAAAGAAGCTATAAGTCCATTCAGACCTTGGTTAGCATTTTCCACTGCTCAGTCTCCAAATTTCTCACAGACCAGAGTGCAAAGTAATTACAAGGAGGTCATTGGTCCTCACAGGAGAAAGGTCTCCAGGAGAAAATAAACCACTACTTCATCATGCTCTCTGAAGCAATGCTACAAACATCAGAGTCCAGAAGGCAGAGCTGCAGGCTGACAGCCCAGGATCAAGCCCATTTGTATGACTTTGGGCAGACCCATTGACTTCTTGGTACTTCAAGAGTACAAGTAAAGGACTATTGCACTACTGTTCTGTGATTGATATCTTAAGAATCTCATGTTAGTTTTGGATTTTCTTACTTTCGTTCAGAAATTCAACTCAGTTCTGCTGCTGGTATCAGCTTTTTAATTCACTTTACACCAAGATATTTATTACCAGAAATTGTGCTTTGATATGTGTCAGGTTGACGGATTCAATAAAAGCCCTGTCAGGAGAAGTTGAGTGAGCAGGGTTGCAGAAGTGGTGTCATCAAGGGAATTGATACGTTAACAGCCAGTCTGCAGATCTTGCAACAAAACATGCAAACATAATAGCATTTTATTGCCTCACCCTGGCAAAATAGTTCAGAGAAACACTGAGTAACATTTAGGCAAATGTTTTCTAAACAAGCTCGTCATGCTCACTGATAAAAACCATACGTAAGAAGTGATCCTGCATGCTGTCCTGTTTTCCTATTCGGTGTGCAAAATTTGGTCAAGAAGAATAAAGACTTTATTCAAAATAAAGCTTCGAATTTAACTCTGGGAATTCCAGCAGACATCCTGTGACACTCCAACTGAATTTTTCCTCCAATAATGGAAGAGGACAACTTCACTGATACATTTTCAGACACAGCCAGTAGACCTGCACCCCTCATCAAGTCATTGGAAAGTCGCATTAGGGTCTTATTTTGACACCCAAACCCACAGGCGCATAAAATCAGTGTTTGTTTCTGATTCAATAAATGACATCACATAAGAAGCAAGACGGATTTGAAGAGCAAAATATTAACTTTTGATCAGACCGCATAATATAGGGAGTGAGAAAAGGATACCTGCCCACTGCTCTGCTATAGGCCAAGCAGGGCTTGAATACACAAGCCATTGCTTCACTTGTATCAGACCACCACAGCTGTATTCTACCTCTGCTCTGCCTTGCAACGCAAAGAGATTTTAACTTGAACTTATTTACAGAACGTTTGGGAATGGTAAAAAATATGATGTTGAGATTCAACTTTTAAAAAAAGAGAAATAATATTACACAGCCTAAACAAAGCAAAGGGAAAAGTTCCAAAGCAATTCATCTGAAAAATGTAAATTACATTGAGGATTTAAGTCTATGTAATGAAGACAATTAATTGCTACAAGATTCATAAAACACATTAAATGAACAGGGTTTTTTCCAGTTCTACTTGCAAGATAAATTTTATTAACTATGTTTAATGCCTACTTAAAATTTTTCTCTTACATATTTATTAAAAGTGCTTTAAATGTGCTTTTTCAGCAGAACAGAGCATTTTACTAACCCGATTCTACTAATCTAAAAAAATGAGCAATTTAAAGAAAAAAAGTATTACTCTGCATGTTATCTACACATCCGTTTAAAATAATTCCTTACACAATAAGATTACCATCACCACAATTGCATAAACGCTGCTAAAATGGAATCTGCTTGTCTCACACGAGCAAATAACATCCTGCCACAAAGATGAATGAGTCCAGCTAACGCTATTTGGACATACGTTGCCATTCCCGGCAGAGATACGGAGCAAACGCGGGTCCTGATGTCACTTGGTGTTACTGTAATCACTTAATTAAAAACTCCTCTACTTGGGAGAGCAGGACACATGGAAGAAAGCGGCTTAGATCAGAGCAGTGACCTCAAACAGATCCACATCCAAATCTCGTGCTTTGCCCTATAGACTCACCTGCTCCGCCAAGGATATCTTCATGCCTCCACCTGTGGGTACCAGATGCATCTTTTGCACTTGTGATTGCATGCAAATCAGAGACAGACGTTTACTGCTTAAAAGTGACCTAGAAGTGACTCTGTTCCTTAGTCACCATCTGTAAATGGGGATAAGTAGCACTTCTGTCTTGCAAGGGTGTCATGGGAACAGAAAAAGTTGATGGCAGTCGGTTATTCTGGTAAGTTTGCATGAGCCCCCAAGATGGAAGAGAAAGGATAAAAAAGGACCTCAGATACTTGAACAAACAGCAGCGTTGCCAACTCTTTAAACTCTACTACAAGCTTCTTGGTCTGCAATGTTCTTAAAGATCAAGTTTGCATAAATACGTGAGCTTTCCTCAAATAAGAAGCAAGTTTTTAGATCTGACGGTCACAAAGTAAAGCGCAAAAATATAACTGAAGTCCAAGCTAGAGTTTAATGGCTAAATAATAGTTTTGCATAAATCAATTGTATGGAAAATGCTCTTTGTTCTCTGAAATGGTGAGGTTCTGCAAAGTCCTGCACAACCTCTGCACTGCAGTACTACTCATGCTGCAGCCTGAGATGTGAACCTTAGATTTAGAGTTGGACTGAGATGGGGAGCTTGTCTCACCCTGGTCCTGCCCAAGGTAGGGTCGGCACCACGGTCACACCAGCAACCAACTGCTCTGGCATGGATCCTTGCATGCCCTGGGGCACCCCTGCGTACCCAGCAAAACACACAGGCTCATTGCAAGGAAGATTCACAGCTTTCACCTAGGAATCCCACACAGAAACAGGGAATAAACAAGTTGCTGTGACTTCCACATTATAATAGTGCAGAACATTTCTCCGCAAGGGTCAAGAAGCCCTCTTGATTATGAAATGCCTCTCCTACAGCCTTTCCCTTTAGGCATTATAATCAAAAGAGTGGCAGCTTGGAATTAAACACAAGGGGAGAGGCTAACAAAAGTGTGAGCAATGCTTATCAACCTTCTCTTCTACAAGCCAGGTGCCACTGGAGCAGACAAACGGAGCAAGCGCTGCAGCGGTGACAACGATGGGAACCTCTCCGCCCTGACATCCACACTGTTTTCTTGAAGTGCCTGTACAAGTTGACAGCACAGGCTGTGGCTGGAGCAGACCTTTCTTGATCCTCAACATTTAAAAGTTAAGCACCTAATTTAAGCTATTCCCACCAACCTTTCCTGCAGTCGCTGGAGACAGGCAGGCTCTGGACCAGCACAGCTCTGCTGAGGCGTTACAGTTTGAGCCTGCAGCTTCCAGAGGTAACGCTGCTGGTGTGGCCAGATCAAAAGCA